GGTCTGACTCAGAGTTACTGGCCCTCCAGCGGTGCTCTAGGCGTCTCTTTTGGCGTATTATCTCCCGGAGTTCCTCGGTGAACCAAGGAACTCTCCTGGATCCACTACCTCGGAGAGGCCGTAAAGGCGCAATCCAGTTTAGGGCCCCCACCGCCACTGTATTCCAAGCAGCGACTAAGGACTCTACCAGATTGTGGACGAGAGTGTCAGGTATTTCTCCAAGTGCCATCTGAAATCCCATAGGGTCCATCAGGCGCCTGGGGCGGAACCATCTATTCGGTTCCTCCTCCCTACAGTGGGGGATTGGTCTCCGAAAGTCAAGCCTCAGTAGGAAGTGATCAGACCATGACAAGGGCAAGATCTTAATGCCCCTCAAATCTAGATCACGACTCCACTGCTCCGAGAGGAATACGAGGTCGAGTGTGTGCCCCGCTGAGTGAGTCGGACCCTGGATTACTTGACCATGGTCAAGTCCATGGACTTGGGTCAAGTCCATGAATAGTTGCAGTGGTTAAGGCATCAGGTTAGAAAAGAGGAGTTGGTAAATTCTTGTCCAGCCTTAGGCATCAAATGGACCAGTCACTCTTCTCAGCGAAATTCACATCACAGTTATTATTGTTGGGGCGAGGGAGGGGAAATAGAACAAAGGAATATTAAATATATTCACAGCTTTAATTATTTATAAAAATAATAAAGGTTTAAAAAAGAAAAAAGAAAAAGAATTGGATAGATAACAAAGAATTTACAAATGTGATAGTTATGTTCTGCCATATTTATTAGTGATTACGGATACTTGAATATCTTCAATGTCAAAACCTCTATTAAACCCTATGCAGAACATTAATATCAGAAAATGGCAAGTAATATAATATGGTTCATAAAATAAAATTATGAAATTATCTGGATATCTGGTTAAGAATTCTGAGTGTTGAAATCCACCCATCTTTAAAGTTGTCCAGGTTGAGAAACACTGCCTAGAATATATTCCACTAATAAAATACCGATATAAGAACTATGAAAAACTAGGTGTCACCCATAATTTGTAGTCTTTTTAAAAGCAAAATCTATATTAAAAGGACTATGAACATCACTATAGTTTTTTGAAAAAAATAAAATACGACTACAAGGTATCATTGAATGAATATAGTCTGCTTGTTGAAAACTTTGTTCTGCGGGGCAGGTTGTGTATTCCTAAAAATAAATAAGTAACATGAAATTAAATCAAAACTTATATAAAATTATATTATAGAAGTAAAAGGACCAAGTGGGTGAACATGTTTAACTGAAATCGTCTCTATTAGATGCTGCTCAGAGTTTTAACCATTTTAGTATTTTAAAATACATGATTACAAGACAGATATGGTATTGTACTTATGCCACTGAGTGTCCTTTGTCCTCTTAGGGTTTTTTGTAATTAGCTATTCTTTGCAGGCATAAATACTAAATGCACAGCTGTGACTATATAGTGTGAGGTCCCAGCTGGCAGTAACCAGTGGTGCCTAATACTGAGCTTTGTTTCAGATAAACAACGCACACAAATACAAACATAACCGAGCTTCAACATCTAAAACGCTCTCTGTTCAGCTCTTGGAATCAGAGATGCAGAAGCATCAGTGACTATTTCCTAATATTTTGTGACAAATCATTTATAGAAAAAGATACTTGCAATGAAGCCATGAGTATTTATTTGTAGAGGTATATTTTTATATGAAGTGATTCTGGGTCAATCTTCATATAAATACATAAATTATAAAAATAAAGTCTAAAATCAAATTGAGAATTTAGATCAAATCAAATTTATTAAAATCCATCATCACATCTCCTAGACCAATTTGCTAAGATATCCTCTGAAAATTCTTGTGGCTCATTGATGCTTCTGCTACAAGATTTGGAAATATTACATTATTACAAAAGGATTTTTCATTTTCTGTTTCCATGGAAATCTCACTCTGACTCTTAACCAAGCAGCTAACAGCAAAGAATGCTGGTATTTGTAGTTTAGACCACATAGGTTCTCAAACTTGTATTATTTGGTATTATTTTTGATTCTGAAGCACTATGCTTATTATTCCCATTAATGCAGCAAAATGGTGTGCTAATATATACACCACAGAGAGATAGACAAACAGACAAATGTAATGAATTGGTTTGCAAACAAAACATTTGCCATTCATTTTTCAAGCCCGATCTCCCACCATCTCATCTCATCTCATCTCATTCCACCCCACCCCATCCCTCCCAAATCCAATCTTTTCATTTATTCTGCACTACTGAGATGGCAAAGCAAAATGTAAGATAAATTTAAGGAGGCTGAGTGATTCCTCTCTTTTTTCCTCCAAGATTAAAAAAAATTCTTTGGGACTATTGGGAGTATGCTAGAAGTATGTCAGCATTTTTTCATTATTTTCCTAATAAAGTTTATAACCCTACTCAAGCCCCCAAATAAAGTATGTTTCATAAGTAAACTTTAATAATAATAATGATAACAATAACAACAACAACAGAATAACAGAATTGGAATGGACCTTCGAGGTCTTCTAGTCCAACTCCCTGCTCAAGTAGGAAACCCCATTCCATTTCAGACA